ATTCAAGTTTCTTGTATCGTAAAGTCTAACAGAACTGAAGGTATACGACGAAAATTAGTCAAACATTCTTCTTGTCACAATCAAGTGTAACTGAGATCATCAATTAAAATCGAGTACTGAAAAGAGCGAAGAATATTTGTATACGCAGCTATTATTGAGGATTTTTCGTCTTGATTTGCAGTTGTTTGGGAGAGAACTTGTTGCAAGCACTGACAAATGTCTGACAGAAAACTGAACATATCAGAACTAAAGCTAATAAATTTGTAGACCGCTGACAAGTGTCTAATGATGTTGTTCGAAGGACAAGTTCAGTAAAGAACACTGATTAAGTTTCGTCCACACGACAATAAAACTGAATAGAGACAAGATCATGCAGACATACCTGTGCTTGCCATCATGCACAATGCCCATCAAATAATGTTTTGCTGTCACTTTTTTTTTCTTTTCACAGAAAACTATTCAAAAGTTAAGCTTTATGAAGAGAAAATGTTCGTATAGCTCATTTCCAAATTGAAAACTGTTGATATAGTTCGGTTTTTGTTCTAGCTACTGCTAGGTGTGGGTGTGAGTTGACCTAAGATTCACAAAAACACCTACACCATACATGCCATCCACACCCTATTCTCTTAAGTTAGAAGAAAACACATTAGTACGTCTTTGTAATAGAGAGCATCAGAAAAAGGATTTTATGATCTTTTTCCGTGCTTGTGTTCTACATTAAATTCAATCCTGAAAACAAATGTTGAATTATTACATAACTGTTGTGACAATTGATAATTGAATTTAGGTGTCTACCAAGTAGTAAGTTGTACATAGTGTCTGAATCGGTAAAAATTTAAATCCAAAGGTCACTAGAGCTGAATATGTGATTATTTCAGAAATAGATCTTGTTAAATTAATCAATGAAGATTTGATTAACTGCGTCAAGACATGTATGTATAAAAAAATTTGATAAACTGTTTGATTTCTGAGAAATATAACTGTTGATCAAACAAGAAATTTTCTTATGAAATAATAGTACATGGAGTCGACTTTCATGAAAAAATATTTCTTCTTTTCTGTGGCTCATGTCTTCCACATGAGTAACAAAAAAAAATCAACATAATCACACCAATGAAATAGTAAAAATTCCATCATTGTAACACATGTTATTTCACAACTTCTATAAATTTTTATTACTTATATTGGATTGTAAACTATAAATGAATGGAGGTCCAAACTGGATGACTTTTCGATATCTTAGAGGTGCAGAGTAGGTGGGAGACGCAAGTCGCACATGAGACACCACTACTCTATGTATATTGCTCATTCAAATAACATGACCTCTAATTTTTTATCTTTACTGGTCTAATTGATTAATATTTATTAACTGAAGTAGTTTTTAATCAATGTTCTTAAAGGAAAAAATATATTGCTGTCAGATAATATTTGGCATGCAATTCAATCATAATTCAATTCTGTTTCACAACCATAAACGGTGTCAGTGGGCATATTTTCACGTAATGTTGGAAATATATTGCCGATGACTATGGGTAAAATATGTTGAGAACAGAAAAACCAATGCGAAAGACTATTAAGTGTTTTTAAACTGAGAGTTCATCATTTTTAAAACTATTATGTGAGACATATATTTGTGATGATAGAATACAGTTATTTTATGATCAAAATACTGTTCAGTAATTGTGCAGTTATGTCAATCACTCCAAATACAAGGTTATGCTTGTTAAAAATTAAAAATTATATTTTTATTAGAATTACAGATAAGATTTCATTTAATATACCAAAGTAGAGTGAATAAATCTAATAACGACACACTGATTTAGTCATCGTCAACTACTACTATCTCAGTTGCGGCTTGCTAGAAGAGTTTGTTTTGAATGTTATCACTTCAAAGAGAATATCTGAAGAACTATGCAGACATCTATTCGAATACAGTATGACTATGAAATAAGTGAAACGAATTAAATTACTAGCTGCACACCGTGAGTAGGATCAATTACTCTCTAAATTCAAAAACAAAAATGTAGAATCGCTATATAGTTCACAGAGATGGGACCGGTTCGGTTTTTAACCGAACCGAACCGACCGACCGTAACCGAAATCGGTTCGGTTGGAGATTTTTAGAGAATTCGGTCGGTTACGTTCGGTTCGGTTAGAGACTTTTTCGGTTACGGTCGGTTCGGTTAGAAATTTTAAAAAATTCGGTCGGTTATGTTCGGTTCGGTTAGAAAGAATCAACATAATCGTTTCATTTTAGTTCAATGGACTTTTTCAGTGAAACATAAGAAGAAAAAAGAATATAATCGTACAACAACTAGCTGTTGCTCGCAACGCGGATTATCTCACATATTTTTAAAATTTGCCCTGAGAGGTAAGGAAGTTATAATACAGTAAGAAGATCCAATAAATAATCTTTATTCTTTGCTTTCTCTAAGTGTTCATTATTTTTAGTTGCTATTATTTGATTTGTTGTTGCTAATTTATAAAGCACTAATACCCTAACTAAAATAAGCTAAACTTCGCTTTCTCTAAACTCGGTTCGATTACGAAATTTTTGAAATTCGGTCGGTTACGGTCGGTTCGGTTAGAAATTTTTAAATATTCGGTCGGTTACATTCGGTTCGGTTAGAGATTTTTTCGGTTACGGTCGGTTCGGTTAGAAATTTTAAAAAATTCGGTCGGTTACGTTCGGTTCGGTTAGAGATTTTTTCGGTTACGGTCGGTTCGGTTTGGCAAAAATGCCAACCGATCCCACCTCTGATAGTTCAGAAAAATAGGAAATCAAAACAATCTTCATAAACGATATTATATTGATGCACATACAGAAACTATTCAAAATTAGTCAATTTCAGTGTTGAAATTCGCGCACCAGTGTAGCGCTTTAGGCGCCAAGTTTCTTGCAAGAACCAGTGTTTCATGTTTGAAAATTCAAAATTTTCTAACTGTTGACTATTAAATTAACTAGTTCTGAAAATTTACTTTACATGCCTTAATATACTATCATTTATAAAGTTTATTTTGATTTTTTGTTATTCTGTTAGATAACAAATGAAAATTATCAATGAAACGCTCTATCTTCATGTTTCTTACTCGACAATAGATGACTTTTTTTAGTGAGGCCAAAAATAGAATTGGACAGTCGTATTTATTTACGTTATCCATACACACTAAGATAAAATGTGTCGCATGTGTCGCACTTTGCGACACAATGTACGACACATTAATATGCGACACGAGGAGCTCGTTGCGACACATTTCTTCCCGCGGACGTACGACACATTCTTGTGCGACACATGCGACACATTTTTACCACGTGGTTCGAATCCATTTTTCGGCACGAGGATTATTTTTTTTTGAAAATTCGAATAGTTACTATTTTTTCAGTTAATTTCAAACAGTAGCATCTATTCTTGGAGTTCGAGACGGTAGAACTTAAGATCTAGCTGCCTCGAGACCATTTGATCTCGATCAGACTACTTCGAGGCAGTCCATTCTCGATCATCTAGCGACCTCTCGACATGTTCTCGAATAACAAATGGTCGAGAAATAATCTAGAAAAAAAGACATACGAAAATGTATAAGTCAAGTACGTCCAATAGGCTCGCTTATATGCAGCTGCACTCGCGAAACAAATCGGTGAATGAACGATTGACATATAGGCTATGACACATCTATAATGCGACACATTCTTGTATGACACATTTTTGTAATGGAGTCTGCGACATATTCTTGTGCGACACATATATACGACACATTTTATTTTAGTGTGTATAAAAAAGCTATAAGTAAGCCTCTATCGCTACGGACAAATAACAGTCCATTCAAATGAACCAAAACAGCGCTATTTCAATTTTTTATCGTAGTGCTATTCATATCTCACTCCGTATATATATATATATATTTGTTTTAAAACAAGAAAATGCTTAAATATAAAATACAATGAATAAATAGAACCTTCAGAGATGTGGATATAGCTATAGCTGGATGTCGATGTGAGCGTGGATGAAAAAAAACCAATACACACACTCACACACTTTTCATTAAACGTAAATGAAATTTTTAATAAATCAACCTGCTTAATTTGGCATTAAATTTTCTGGTGAAGATAAGTACGTAGCGAAAAACAAAAAATATTCATGTTGATATGATTATTAGAAACATTTTCTAATGACGATTCAATAAAGATTATAATTTTGTTTCTTAAAATAAATTTTTATTTATTACAGGCAGCATTTGTATCAATTAATAATATGTCCTTAACTTTATTTACATCAATCGTCGTTATTTCTCATAAAGTGACAAACATCAAATTGCTACTAATTTTAACTTGTGTGTATAAACAGAAACAAACATTTTCTTAGATACCACTCAATGTGAAAACAACGATAAGATCAACATAACAACTTGATTAAATTTGTCTCATAGCGATTGAGTAAAAATATGAGATTTACTAATAACATATATTAAGATCCTATCAAAAAAAAGACAAGAAATCAAAAACCAACCCATGCTAGATATTTCTAGATTTCCAAAATATATGATACGGATAAATTTCTAATTTATGGTATAATTCCAAAAAATATATATTTAGTATTCTAATTGTTGCTATAGCCTTTACCTTCAAAAAAAAAACAGAATAAGCAATCATAAGTTTAGTGAAAGTTAATAACAATTTGTGTTTTGTCAAGGTCTCTTATTTCTAAGACTATTCTTATAGTCAAGGAAATCCAAAGACGCAATTGTAAATAGATGAGACAAAAAAAACCCAATCATTTGCAGTTTGTTTTTGCGTTTTTTCATTCACTGTTGTTTTACTCTTTGAATGCAGCCGAGTTCATTGAGGACTAATCTGAGTCATTCCGTCGTTAGATAGAACGAAAGAAAAAGGAAGAAAAAAGATAAATTATATATACTGTAGACTTTCTTGCCTTTCATTTCATTTGTACACGCGATCAGAAAAACATTACTTTATATACTCGTTGACTCTTACAAATATTATCATGTCGGATAAATCAGCAAGCCAAGGCCATTGGGAAGCTCATTCACATGCAGCAAAATCAACCAAAATTGGTGATAATCCAGCAATAGTTACCGGCAAAGAAGCATCAGCTGAAGGAACTTTTGATGTGAGTAAATTTTTCATAGTTTATGTTAGATTCATCATATTCCATTATTAACCATTTTTTTAGCAAGGCAGGCCAGTGGTAACTGATTCTCATGAAACTTCATTCACCAATCAAGGCCATCCAGATAGAATTGAATACAGAGATGAAAGTGGCAATCAACAAAGAAGTATTAAATAAACGAAATAAACATATATCGAGTAAATGAAAAAAAAAACATTCCTTTAAACAAGCGTATTACGTTGTTTTGTTTTTTCTGCTTATGTTCATAGATATTCTATTCTTTTAAAAAAATAATAATTATTGCAGATTTAAATTACATAGTTTGAACGAATAATTCTTAATCTCAATAAAATAATCAATTTAAAAGGTTGTTCGATTTGTTCTATTGATCAAATTTTCAATTTGAAATTTGTCAGAATCATGATTATTAAATGTTCGTTTGAAGGTCTCTCTATCTTCAGAAAAAAATAAAATTACCCTTTCAGTATTTTAAATTGAATATAGTCTATGTGCATATAATCAAATCTAGACACAATGTGAAAAACAAAATGTCTCATCTGCAATCTTATTTTCTGCTGCCAAGTTATAACTATTTTATTGTCTATGATTTACCAAAGTTGAAATATTTTAAGTCACTAAGACTACTCAACTGTAACAAGTAACAAAATCATTTCTCTGCATTTTGTTTGATGTATAATGCTGCGAGTGTAGATGTGGGTATGGGTGTGTGGGTTTCGATGTGGATGTGGGTGAAGAGATGAATTACATCGATACACACACCCACACCCGCGTCGGTATCTCATTACGTGTCTCAGCACAATTCTTCGATAAACGAGGTTGACAATTCATGTGCATAGCATCCTCCATGTCTGTCATAAAAAAATTTTCTCCAATTAGAACAAAATTTGATTGTGAATTTAATAGTGGTCGTTAACAACATTACAATTAGAGCTCATAAAACTTGTTTTTAATTTATTGAAATTGTCTTAAACATTCTGATGACTCCCGAGTCCCATGTTAGGCTCCTGATAAGATAAGTACACATTGAAATCTAGTAAAATAGATCTAGAGCGAAAATCAATATCTTTACATACACAAAAGTCTTTTTAGAATGTGGGATGTGAGGAAAGAGATTATCAATAACTACATCCACAATCTTCACAGTCTTTCTCTTTTTGTTGCATCTTTTGAAGAAATTAATTTTTCAATAAAATAGTATATATCAACAATTTCAAAGAAAAACAAAAACAAAAATTTTCAAACATACTTTATTAATTATTTGATATACTATCGTTGGTGTGAATGTTTTTAATGCACTAGTAATATTTGTCGTAGAAATATTTTTGGCGCTTGTAGTATTTAAATAGATAGTGCTATTTATGGAAGTATGTGATAGCTGACTAGTGCCATTCGATATCGAAGTGAATTTGTTGGTTTCCCTTTTGCCTCGAAGAAGCAAAGACGGTAGGGTACTTAGCTGAAAGCGATGTGAAAGAGTCGACGTAGAAAAGGAAAATATAGATAAAAGTTTAGTAATGATGCTGGATAATGATTTATAAGAAAATGTTAGTTTCGTTGACAATTTATCAGTGCTTTTCACATTTCTAAAGAAGATTTTAATCGGAATATATCTGTCGATGTTGTTGAGGATTGTAAGATATCTGATGAAGGTTTCTGCGTTGATGACTGTTTAGATGACCGATGGTATCGTTGTTTTGTAGACGTAGTCATGGTTGTGTGGTTATCCCGCTTTTTATCGGAATTGTCATATCGGCGTTCTCTTGTCTTATTACGATTTAGTACAGGTTTTTAAGAAAAATCTGATGCAACAAACTTAATAAAAATATTGCCAAGCTTTTTTTTGTACGTGCTCGTTTATTTCTTCTGCAAGTATGTACAATGTTGTCGTCGCATTATAATAATAATCATATTCATATGATTGAATTGGTCGATCAAAAACAAAAGATGATTGTGTTTGAAGGACTACTGTTTGTTCATGAAAGGGATCACAACATCTCTGGCCAGTATTCACAACTTTTGTAACAGTAACACCTACTGCAATGACTGCAGCAATCGTTGAAATTACAGCAGCTAATGAAGCAGCATTGAAACCAATACGTATCAAAATTGCTGGAGCATGAATTAAGGTACTAATTATAAGCATTGATCAATTCTAAAAAGACAAACAACTGACGAACATTTATAACTTTATATTTTGATGGATAAATATTTATAAGACACGGCTAAGTATTAATAACAATCATCGAGTTTTGTATAGATTGACTACTTTTGATATATTTTTTTGAAAGTAAACAAAATTGTAGTATGAATAACAAACAAGCAATTGTGTTAATAATCACATTGCGGGCAAAAACACAATTGATAAAGACTGTCTAATAGGAAGTGATATTCCTATGTCAACCATAATAAAGGTTGCTCGAATAATATTTCATTTGAATAGTTCGCTTGTCAATGTTTTGATTCAAGTCTAATCAATATATCAAATAGATGAAACTATTAATGCATATATTTTGCTGCTAGATGAGTAATACTTTTTAATGACAACACAACTTTTTCGATGATAATAAGAGACGAAAAACATTTGAAAACAAAGCTATTATTAACAACGTCTTAAATACTTTTTTGGTTTTGTAATACATAATCATTGTTATTGAGCTTTAACTTCTCTAAGGTGATCGGATATTTATCAAATGTACTGGTGAGCTGGAAACACTAGCAACTCGCTAGACTTGTGTGGCAAACTACTTGAATTTGAGAGAATGAAAGAAAACTCGATTGACTTGCCAATGAAGTCCAGTGAGTTTCTAGCGTTCCCAGCCTACCACTGATCAAGTGTAATGTAGAAAAACAATGATATTTCTGAAACAATCAGCCGCTAGCTAAGTCTGGCATAAGGAATAAATTAAAGAAATACAAGGGAATAGTTATATTTGAATAAGTGCACATTCCCATGAAAAATTGAACATATCTCTTGCTCGTTTATAGGTCTTCTATTTATCTATACCCACGATTGATATTATACAACAAAAATGGAATACGACAAACAGAAATAAAGGGTAGATGAATAAATGAAATATAATTAATTTGAGCACTCATTTTCCTCTGTCTGGATGATTCTTTTAATCATGAAGGTAAGTGTCACGACAAACTTTATGAGCAGCTTACTACCATTCTCAATCATGGTGTTTATTGACTACTCCATATCTCCAAAACATCACTACGTCAAAGAAAACGCACGCTTACATAGGAGAGAGCACAATAGAGAGATGACTACAGGAAAGAGAAATGAACAGAAATAGATACAGGGAGAATCACCAGAGATAAGACAAAGAAGAGAAGCAGGTCAACAAGGTGAGGTACTATCAATGTCGGCAAAGGTGAAGCGAAGAAAAATAAACAGAACATATGGAAAAACTGATCATTTAAACTCTGTCAAATAACGGGAAAAAACTTGGAACGATATTGAATAATAAGACTTAAAATCACTTGAATTACATTTTTTCACACCTATTTACGAGACCACTTAACAATTGACATATTATCGAAAAACTTAGGAACAATATGAAAAAAAATAACTGTACACGATACATGAAATGTTCAGGACGACTTATTTCATATTTTAAGCCGTTAACTTCAACATTTCATAAAAAGCATCAAATTATCAATGAATCAACACGAACGAAAAACAGAAAGATTTATTTCCATAAATTCACTTGATATATATGGGCATTTTTCGCGGCACAGAAAAAAACAAAACAATTTGCCTTCATAGAATTTATAAGAGACATACAACCAATAATACTGTTTACACTTATCTATCTGCTCACAATATCATTACATTATGACGTAAAAAAGTAAACGCATAACTGTCTGATGCACCAAAAAAAATTAGTCAGTACTTAATGAACTTCAAAACATTTTTTGTCATCAACTCAAAGGAAAAAATGACATAAATTGCAACATACAGAAAATCAAGTCTGGTGCATCAAAGATACCTAGAACGATTTCTTTTCGTATTTTACATTTAGATCAGGTGAATGCGTCACAAATTAAGAAATGAGAGAAAAAAGTGGTATCACGGCTCAAACGAAATAACTACAGAAAGTTATGCATTTTCAATAAATTCACTTTTATTCCAGTAATTCTTCATTAAAAAACAGAAAAAATAAGTGTAGCATTTTACATATCATCGTATCAGATGCGACACTTTCATTTAAAAAAAAAGGAAAAACAAAACTTATGCACCTTCATGACCGTCAAAGGAAAGAAAACTCATGTTGATATCTTTTATTTATATCTTAATATTTATGATAAATGATTGATTGCTTTTTATTATTAACTTTGCACATACAGGAGTGGTCAAAATTATCCGACCGGGTGTAATTTGAATTTTTTTCGTCGTCGTAAGTGCTAGAAAGAATCCAAATAGTCATTCGAATAGGAAAAACTGTTTCCAACAAGTATTTGAGAAAATGATAATCGTCACTAAATTCCTAAAAATAGGGTTTCTGTAAAACCCAAATCCTGTTTTTTTGAACACCTAAAATCCGTGGCATAGTTTTTTTTAAACAACCTAAAATGATAGAACAGCCAATTCTCTACAAAATGAGACGTCTCTCAGTTTTCTACGACATTCGCTTCAAGAGTTATAAGAGTCACAAAAAGTGAAATTTATCAGAAAATCGCTAAAAATGAGCTAAAAACCGCATTTTTTGGTTTCTTGTGATGCTTATAACTCTTGAAGTGAATGTCGTAGAAAGCTGGAAGACGTCTGATTTTGTAGAGAATTGGCTGTTCTATCATTCTAGACTGTTAAAACAAAAACTATGCCACGATTTTTAGGTTTTGAAAAACCAGGGTTTTAGTCTTTCAGAAACCCTATTTTTAGGAATTTAGTAACGATTATCATTTTCGCAAATATTTGTTGGAAACAGTTTTCTCTATTCGAATGACTATTTGGATTCTTTCTAGCACTTACGGCGACGGAAAAAATTCAAATTACACCCGGTCAGATAATTTTGGCCGCCACTATATATAGATACTTGATCATAATGAATCATTAGCTGGCGGGTGTGTCTACTTGATTGCAGACGTCTTTTCTTAATTGGAAGAAAAAAAATGACCGCAAAATAGAAAATGTCTGCATTATGGAGGCAAATGAAAATCAATAAAAGGAAACGATCAGTGCAGATGCCTCGCTTCACAGAGAGTATCATCTTTTAAGAGATATTCCAGTTATGAATGCCATGTGCTGTCCCGGAAATTCTCTTATATTTGCTTGTAACTAAAGTATTACAAGTGACTGAAATAAAGTAAAACAAATTAAATTTAAATATCGATCTTTAGTCACGATAGCTTTTCTAAAATTAATACACAATTTGGTAATGATGCAATAATGTTTAAAAACCATCATTTTGATTTGGGACGTACTAAAAATAAATGGAAGTCAAGTACGGCTTCATACACGTATGTTATGTGATGCTGTCATAACCGTATGTGAAGGTTCTATTGTAAAAACAGCGCTTATAAAAGCTGATGGAAAACATGAATTTCAAAATCCAGAAAAAATGTAGTTAAATGTATATGAATGCATCAAAGCCATGAAGCGAAAGATCAAAGAAGAACCCACAGCACCGGTATCATTATTATATGATCAAGAAGCTAAAAACTTTTGACGAGAAAGCGCTAGTGCTGGTGAAGTTCCTGTGTTTGATCGTATTAAATCATCATTATGTGAATATCGGTCGTTCCAACATCCACCAGTATCCAAGTCGTTATCAACAATTAATGTACCTGATCAACTTACTCGAACATTAATGGGAGACAAATTCTCATTTTGTAATAATCGCCAAGCACCAATTCTTGCTTTCGCAGCACCAAAAACTATTCAACTGCTTGATACAAATGCACATTGGAACAGGGACAGTACTTTCCTCACTGCATTTCGACTCTTTTACCGAAGTTATAGTATTCACATATGGAACGACTATAGGATGAAACCAATGGTATATGCTGCATTATCTATAAAAAAAAGGATAATACAGATGATATTTTATTGAAAGAATTAGTATTAGAACTCCAACAAGTGGTGTCTTGCTTAATCCAAAATCTATTTTAATCGATTTTGAACAAGTCTCCTTAAATGCTTTTTCAAAAAATTTTCCATCAGCAAGCATCAAAGAATGTTATTTTCACTTCTTTCAAAATATTTGGAGACAAATTAAGAAAAAAGGTTCAGTGAATTTATCCGATAATGATGAAGCTCGTCGACAAATAGCATATATCATTATGTTACCTTTATTACCACCACAAGAAACGAATGAAGCTTTTAGTAATATTATAGAAGCAATAAGTAATATACACCACAAGTTTCTAAAATTAACAGATTATATTCTTCGCACCTACATTGAAGAAGAATTATTGTCTCAATAATTTTGAAATTCATTCGCTTTAATTGGTGTTCAACTCTTAACTAATGATCACATTGAAGAATATCATGGTCAACTAAATTCTCATTATCAAATACATCCAAATCTTTTTGCATGGATAAGGTATATTCTAGAGTAGGAAGAATTAACAATAGTGTGAGCCCAACAAGAAGAAGCTCAAGAACATACAAATTGACCTACAAAATTCAAATCAGTAAACAATGAAAATATTTTATTCAAACGAAGCAGAATTAGGTAGATGGCCTCTTGGATCAATTATCGTTGCCAAAGCAAATCACGTTCTCTCTGTTATCAATATATCAAGGTGTTTGCTAAAACTGAAAAAGATGACCTGGATTACATACTTAAGCAAGGTTAAATGTTTCGTTTCTTTTCATTTATGTTTTCTTACACTAAAAAATTAGTGCCTTGATTCCATTATCTGAAGTTTTCCATTTTGCTGTTTATTCTTGCTCTCCCCCCCGGATTCTACTGTGTGAACATTTTTCCTTAATTGTCAAAAAAAAAAATATCCGTAATCAAGTATTAACCCTGGCGGGAATAGTCAGTTGAGCTCAATGTAGATGATGATAAAAGATAAGAAACACACCGTAATAGTTTGACTAATTATAGTGTGAATGATATATTAATATCATTCACGATAGATAAATTTTACTTGTGTATGGCCGATATACCATCAAGTTCAATATCATCA